ATTTCTCCACTTTTTCCTCCTCTAATTCAGACCGAGGATCTGAAATTCACACTTAAGTTTACCACTTCTGTTTTCAAAAGCGGAGAATTGAGGAGGGGGAGGTAGTCGCTGGAGATTGAAGAGGTGATGGTTTACCTAAAGTAGAAAAGAGGGAGGAGCACCTTTTCTGTACTCATTGTTTGTATTGTGAAGATAAATATTCATGATCATCGTTATAAACAATGCTCTCTACTAGACCTTCCGTCTTCAGAACCAGTGTTCTTTTTTCTTTTTTCTTTTTTTTTTTTTTTTTTTTTTTTTTTTTTTTCCCAACTCACCACATTTAATTTCATTGCCAAAAATATCTGCGTCGCATCCAACTCACCCAATTGGGACCAACTCGATGGGGACCGCAGCATGTTGGAAAAGAGCGGAAAAGGCTCGCGAGCTATTCGGTCTATGGTGAAGTTCATGGATCCCGCCGAAACAAACATAAGGGCAAGTGGTCGGGGACCTCACAATTCCACCCGCAGCATCAGCCGGTTTAGCTTATGGGCCTCGCTGCACTACTCTCAAAATGTGCGAAATGAGTATTCCATCCGCGTAAACGATCTTCTGTTCAAAATTATGCTCCACTATTCTACACGGAAGAATCAGTTTTGTCCGCTCTTTTCGATTTCTACTTTTATTTTCCTAAAATAGAAAACGACAAGAGTGGTGTCGTTTTCAAATTCGCACATAATTCATTCATTCACTCATTCACTCATTCATTCATTCATTCAAGTTCATTCATTCATTCAGTTGATCATTGCTTATCCCCATCCATCCATTCAGTTGATCCATCCATTGATTACAACCAGATTCATCCATCCATTTTGCAGTTGATCCATCCATGGATTACAACCAGATTCATCCATCCCTCCAATTCAGTTGATCCATCCATGGATTACAACCAGATCGTTACTCATACTAATAATGATTAGCATACCTCCCCCTCCTCAATTCTCCACCTTTTGAAAACAGAAGTGGTGAAGTTTGAAAACAGAAGTCGATCATTAAAAAAAAAAAAAAAAAAGAGTTGATCATTGCTTTTTCTTTATCCCCATCTGGTTGACATGTAATCAATGGATGGATCCGATCCGAATTGAAGTTTGAACATATCGAGTTCATAATAACATGCGATTGGTGGATTTTTTGTAAGAGCATAATAGTACTCACACTACTTCAGCTCTACCGGGATGCATCTGACCGCATTTTTCACGGCCACACCTGGATGTATCGGACCACATTCACGGCCACACCTGGATGCATCTGACCGCAATTACGTCAACAAATAAGTAAAAAAACCGTCCTCGTGTGAGTCTGCCCTAAGTTTCTGCTGAATGGGAAGGGATGGGAGGTTCCTTGCATATCCCATTTTAGGAATTGTCTTAGCCCCCCCTTCCCCCCCCTCCAACCCAGAAGCAGCAGGTAAGTAAGGAGAGCAAGCGAGTGCCCTGACATTGCAAATAAGTCCATGTTATTTCTCTGGGTGGTTATTCCAGAATAGAAAATATATTGTAAATGAATCGGCGTTGGTAGAAATATATGTTACTAATAGGGACATTCTGTCGCGCTATTGGTGGTCCACGGGGGGAGGAGGGGGGGGGGGGAGAAGGAGGAGAAGGGGGGGAAACGGGGGAGAAGGGGTTAGGATATGCTCACTGTCGGAATTTTTGGGATGTATCTGACTGCAATTAATATCAAATTCAGTCAAAAAAGTTTCAAGTAATTCGATGCGCTTAGCAACAGGAACAAACGTCTACCGGTAGTAGCCCGCCCCTCTTCCCGATTTCAGTACACCCCAGGAACAAAGTCCAAACTTATCCTCCCCCCCCCCCCCCCCCCCCCTTTTTTTTTTTTTTTTTTTTCCTGATCGGAAGTTATCTACTTCTGGCAGTAGATCGTGTTGGTATCTGAGAGTCAAGGGCACTACCGCCGTCCCCCGACCATTATGCATGCTCATCTCTTTTTTTTTTTTTTTTTTCCTCATCGTTTTTCATGAATGTATACAGACTGTTTTCCCATGCCAAGGGTGCCTTCTTGTGTTTGCTGGAAGGCGGTAGGACCTCAGCTCACCCCTGTCCTCTCTTTTACGCCCCTACGACCC